TATGATATCTATATAAGACACTAAGTAGAAATTTATAAGATATATCAATATTAGACACTTCTTTAAATAACTTAAATTTGAACTTTTAACTATATTCGTATGAGAAATAAAATGTTTTAAGGAACTTATATATAATATTGGCATAACATGCTCAAAGTAACAAAGTGTAAAAGATTTATGAAGTAACTCTCTTATAACCTTGGTTTTTAGTAAAATTATAGTTGTAAGAATTTTATAATTCAAAGTAACTGAGTTATATGTAAAAGGTTTACCTTAATAGTAGTAAAATATACAAAATTTTACATCGAATAAATTATCAAAGAAAGCCGAGCTTGAAAATTTTTAATACTATGATGAAGTCATTAAGAGAGCTAAATGGAACTAAGCTCAAATAGATTGAAAAAGTGAGGATCCACAAAGACTTAGAATGGTAACATGTATTGAAACCTGATGAATTCTTTATACTTTCAGATCATAAACCATTATCAATATATATCAATCTAAATTAATAAGAAATTTTCAAGAATCAGTGAAATATGAAATTAATTAATGAACCCGTTGGTTTATTATTTGAAAACCCAAAAACATGTGTGAGTAAACTAAGATTTATAATTGATTTTTTTTGGATTTAAGCCTACAGCAATTGAGTCAACAAAAGAACAAATAGTTAGAAGCTATAGGTTCAACTATTCTCTAAGTAGTTATCTATTAAGAATATAATATAAAATAAAATACAGGAATTTTTTTCAGAAGGTCAATGATGATATATGAATATGAAATTCTTTCCTTGTTCTATTGATATCAGCTACATAGACAAATAGTTTTAAATTAATATATTGATTACAATTTATTATTCCTTAATAAGCATTATATTAAACTATTTTTACTTTAATTTTTAATACAAAAATTTTGATCGGATAATATTGACTTATAAGTATAGAAAAAAGTAATAATAAACTTAAAGATATTGAATAAAAAGAATAATTAATTTATTATCAATTAAGATTTCATTTTATGTTACATTATTTATATTATTAATTTATCTCAGTATAATCGAAATTTATAAAAATCAATGATTATAAATAATTACTCTAAAAACTTTAAAAATAAGATGTGTGGAAGGAATTATTCAAGAATATTTGAGTGAACTATGATTATTTATTAAATAAATATTAATAATAATATCAAGTCGAAGAAGGTTAAATAGAGAGTAGGTATATAGAAGCAGTTCTACATTTATAAACAACTATATTGATATACTTTATAAATCATTAAGTGGTATTAGTAAGTGAAGTGGATGGAAAATGAATTTAGTTAAATATTTTCAATCAAAGCGCAAACATCGGAAAAAAGCAAATTAAAATGCATCTAATTTCAAAGAGTCTGATTATATAAGTTATAAAAATTAAATGAAAGAGTCTTTAGGAATAAAATCGAGAAAGAAATATTGAATAAAATCCACTGATTAATTAATAACTTAAGCCACAATTTACAAAAGAAAATTTTAGTCTAAATTATTTTAAACAAAAAGAATTACTTAAATCTATTTAGCAGACTCATTAAATTGAAAACCCCAAATTATAAGCCTAAAATAGAAGTATTAAAAAACGCTATGGTTTGAAAAATCAGGATTGCTAAGAATATGATTATATATGATGAAATTCATTAAATTGACCTATCTCATTTTTGAAAGACTTTAGAATGATTTATGATATCAATTATTTTAGTTAATAAAGGAACTTTATTACTTTCTCATTTAAATAGGAATAGTATTGAATAATTTTTTAATTATTTTCATATAAGTATAATTTAATATAAAAAATATTAAATACAATTTTAAGAACTATTAAACTATTATAATTTTTGATAAGAATGATCTTTTGATAAAATTAATAGATATAGATTGGATGCATATGGTAGATTTTGCAATAATATCCATTTTAATTTAGATGTTTTCATAAATATTTTTAAAAATAATTATCAAAAAAAAATTGATGAATAATGGCATAGGTAATGTAATTTCTGTTTTAAAAATCATAACTTAATTTAAAAAAGCTTTTTAATTTATTGATATGATGACTTGAATATTATTTGATAGGATTGTAATTATAATTAGAAGAAAATCTGTTAAGATTTCAAAACTAAATCTATGAAATCAATCTTTTAAATTAAAATACTATTTATGCAAATAAAATTCATTTGATAATTTATTAATTATTATTTATAATTTAACTCATTTTTAAATTTAACTTAAAGATGCCATTCTCTTAAATTGAATAGAAGATTCCATATGTCTTATAATTAATACACTATTTTATGAGTTGAAAGAGTTTGTATTAATCTACAATTAGAACTTGTTAATCAAATATTTTTAAATTTACNTAGACAAATAGTTTTAAATTAATATATTGATTACAATTTATTATTCCTTAATAAGCATTATATTAAACTATTTTTACTTTAATTTTTAATACAAAAATTTTGATCGGATAATATTGACTTATAAGTATAGAAAAAAGTAATAATAAACTTAAAGATATTGAATAAAAAGAATAATTAATTTATTATCAATTAAGATTTCATTTTATGTTACATTATTTATATTATTAATTTATCTCAGTATAATCGAAATTTATAAAAATCAATGATTATAAATAATTACTCTAAAAACTTTAAAAATAAGATGTGTGGAAGGAATTATTCAAGAATATTTGAGTGAACTATGATTATTTATTAAATAAATATTAATAATAATATCAAGTCGAAGAAGGTTAAATAGAGAGTAGGTATATAGAAGCAGTTCTACATTTATAAACAACTATATTGATATACTTTATAAATCATTAAGTGGTATTAGTAAGTGAAGTGGATGGAAAATGAATTTAGTTAAATATTTTCAATCAAAGCGCAAACATCGGAAAAAAGCAAATTAAAATGCATCTAATTTCAAAGAGTCTGATTATATAAGTTATAAAAATTAAATGAAAGAGTCTTTAGGAATAAAATCGAGAAAGAAATATTGAATAAAATCCACTGATTAATTAATAACTTAAGCCACAATTTACAAAAGAAAATTTTAGTCTAAATTATTTTAAACAAAAAGAATTACTTAAATCTATTTAGCAGACTCATTAAATTGAAAACCCCAAATTATAAGCCTAAAATAGAAGTATTAAAAAACGCTATGGTTTGAAAAATCAGGATTGCTAAGAATATGATTATATATGATGAAATTCATTAAATTGACCTATCTCATTTTTGAAAGACTTTAGAATGATTTATGATATCAATTATTTTAGTTAATAAAGGAACTTTATTACTTTCTCATTTAAATAGGAATAGTATTGAATAATTTTTTAATTATTTTCATATAAGTATAATTTAATATAAAAAATATTAAATACAATTTTAAGAACTATTAAACTATTATAATTTTTGATAAGAATGATCTTTTGATAAAATTAATAGATATAGATTGGATGCATATGGTAGATTTTGCAATAATATCCATTTTAATTTAGATGTTTTCATAAATATTTTTAAAAATAATTATCAAAAAAAAATTGATGAATAATGGCATAGGTAATGTAATTTCTGTTTTAAAAATCATAACTTAATTTAAAAAAGCTTTTTAATTTATTGATATGATGACTTGAATATTATTTGATAGGATTGTAATTATAATTAGAAGAAAATCTGTTAAGATTTCAAAACTAAATCTATGAAATCAATCTTTTAAATTAAAATACTATTTATGCAAATAAAATTCATTTGATAATTTATTAATTATTATTTATAATTTAACTCATTTTTAAATTTAACTTAAAGATGCCATTCTCTTAAATTGAATAGAAGATTCCATATGTCTTATAATTAATACACTATTTTATGAGTTGAAAGAGTTTGTATTAATCTACAATTAGAACTTGTTAATCAAATATTTTTAAATTTACAAATCTTTTTAATTAAATCATTTTCTGTAAATTTTAGTATTTTGTATAAGATCAGATGTCTCTGCTTATATAATATACTTTTTAATCCTATTTAGATGTATGTATTCTATTTATATTGAAATCAATAGATTTTTCAAGTTATTCATTCATTATTTTATTATTTAGTAAATTTAAGATTTTTTAAGACCTTAATCACATACAATTGATATATTTGAGTAATTTTTAATTCTTAATTTTGAGATGAAGTTTATATTAGACTCAAGCATAAGTTATCTCGTTTATAAAAACTAGATTAGAGTTTGTTCTAAATTTCTTTTCTTTAAATAAATGAAGGTGAATATTTTTTGTAATTCTTAATTTAAGTCTTCATAATACTTGATTTGATTAATTTCTTATCCTTAACAGTTATCTCTTTGATACATTTTATAGGCATTGCAATTTAAAGTATTAATTTGAGCAATTTTATGAGGAACTTGCAATAGCTAGAACCTTACTATTTGTGATTCAGTGAGACTAGTGAATTAAAATTACATAATTAAAATTAATAGAAAATAAAAAAAAATGAAATGAGAGAGGTTCGATTTCAAAAAATAGTGATTGTTTACTAAATGTAGCTTTAGGAAGATACTTCTTTATTTAATCATAAAAAAGGAACGTATTGATTAGTTTTGAAAATACTTTTTGAGCTTAGATTATATATTGAACTCGATAGTTTATAAAGACAAAAATAATTCAACCTTTACATAAGTAAAGAGATAAATATGGTTATTGTATGTACACTATCAGATTATCTCTAGGATACATAGTTTATTTTGATGATAATTCCATACATCTTACATGAATAATTAATATTTAATTTCTTCTGAATATGCAAATAAATTTTATCACTATTTTAGTATTCATTATGAAGTGAAAAATATGTTATTTAAAGAGTATGGATTTTTGGTAAAATTTTTAACACTAAAAATTATTTCCATTAATTAACTTAAAATTCAAGTGATCTAAAGATGAAAGAATTATAGATTATAAGATCAAATATTAATTTAAATGCAATTTACTTACATATCAAGAGCAATTGTATTTGATTCAACAGGGAAGATTATGGTTTCAACTTGTAGAAATAACATATTAATTTGGAATTTCAATAATGGAAAAATTTAAAAAGTTCAAACACTTTCAGAACATTAAAAAGATGTTACTTGCCTAGTATATAGTAAAATTAAGAATTATTTTATTTCTGGATCAACTGATGGATCAATTATATTATGGAAATAATTGAATAACAATCAATGGTAAAGTTCTAAACCATAATGTGAGCATAAGGAATAAATCAATTGTATAATCTTAACATAAAATGAAGATTAATTAATTTCAGGTAGTTCAGATTGTATGATAAATGTATGGAGAATAGATTTTATTAATAATCAATTAACATTTCTCTATTCTTTATAAAAACATTCTAGATCTGTCAACTAATTAAGTTTAAATGAATCAGAAAGACTATTGGTTTCATGTGGATATGATACATTAATAATAATTTGGTAAAAAGATGCAAATAATAAGTGGACTTTTTAGTAAGTTGTTAATTACAATTAATAATCAATTCAAGATAGTGTGGCTCATGTTAAATTCATAAAGGAAGATTAATTCATATTGTTACCTTATAAATTCAATTGTTTATACGTATTTTAACAAAAAGATGGTTAATTTCAAGAAATAATAGAGAAGAAAGTTTAATTTAAAAAAAATAGCGAGGGATATGTAAATTAATCATTCTTCCCTATAATATACATTAAGGATAAAAATTTAATATGTTTGAGACATATAAACCATATTATGTTACTCAAAGAACAAAATGATGGATAATTGTAAATTGTTTAGGAATTAGATTGCCAATATTGGAATATATATGGAACAGTAACAAACAATGGATAATATTTAATATATTGGGGAGAAAAGAAGTATAAATATGAGATATATGAAATATAGTATAAATGAAATAAATGATTCATTATAAGTATTAGATTTCATTATTCTATTTCAAATTATTATTATCTTTTCTATTCTTTTCTTAATTAATAAAGGTATTATTTACTCCATAAGATTTTTAAAAAGAAAAGGATTTTTTGATGATGATTCTTATATTAAAATAAATTAATTTCCTTGAATTTAAATTCTTTAAAGAAAAAATCAATATAGTGATTTTCTTATTTAATAATTTAACTGCAATCATATATACCTATTTTTATCTTTGACTTGATTAATTGAGAATGTGTTAATAAAATGATTTTTCAATA